TCTTCTTTCTCCCTTCTTATTCTCGGTCAAGCTTCTCTTCACTCACTACTCTCCCTTCAAACTTCCAACACTACAAAACTACTCTTAAATCCATCTAAAGTTCTCTCATCTTCATCTCCCAAAATTCATGAACTAAAGTGCGTTCACCAAAGTTTTCATCTAAGATCATCACTTTTGGGTAAGCTACTCTCTAGGTTTGATGATTAACTTTATTTTCTGATAATCTTCACCCCTTAACACATCATTTCGTGATCCATGCTCTTAGATCCATCTTAGGTTCGAGATCTACTCAGGAAAGCTTGCTAAGGGCCGAGATCTCTCCATTTTCTTCCTCACAACCGAAATCATCAACCCATTGTGAGTTCATAACCCCTATTTTTGGTTTTTACTATGTTTTGGGGAGAATACAAGTTGTTTTGTGTAGATCTATGAGTATATGCATGATTTTGTGTGTTTTTCATGATATAAGTGTGATTATGTGTTATAAACTTCATAAACTTGAAACTATGCTAAGATATGATGATATTTGTAGAACATAACACTTACTGAAACTTATTATGCAAAGAAAAGGTTTAAAACACTTCAAAGTTGTTTAAAACTAAGAAAATTGCTTAAGAGGGCCAAATATGACAAAATAATAAAAAATGAGGTTATTATATGTGACTCACAGTTTTAAGGGACCAAAATGATTTATTTTTGATAAATTTGAACCTTTATGGTGTTTGTGATTTTAAAAGGGCTAAGAGTGTAAATTTTCATAAATAGGCCTCCTTTTGGGCTTTCATGGGTTTAGGCTAAAATTGTAGAATTTTTGGACTTTTGTGGACTTAAGTGTCATTTTAAACAAAGTTGACCCAAAAATGTAAATTTTCGGTTATAATGGGGCTGACAATGTAATTTTATTAAATCTTGGGTTAAAAAGATAATTTATTCATAAATGGGTCGAAAATGTCAATTTTTCATAAAATTAAGGTCAAAAGTGTTATTTGTAAACCAAAGGGGGCTAGAAATGCTAGTTCGTTTAAAACAAGCCCAAAAATGTAAATTTCGGTCTTAAAGGACCTAAAGTGTCATTTTTACCAAGAATGTGCCTTGATTGTAAATTTTCGGTTTAAGGACCAAAAAATGTCTTTTTACAAAAGCGAGCCTTTTATGTTATTTTGGAAAACAACTAAACTTAACACTCAACGTAACAACAAACAGATCAATTATGTCATTTTACATGTTTATTGGGCCTGAAATAAAATTTACATGTTTAGTGGGCCTTAGTTGTCATTTCACATGTTTATCGGGTTTGGAATATACCTTACATGTTTATTGGGCCTTAGTGGTCCATCTACATACTTGTTGATTTCACACATTCACATACATACTCGTTTGGCTTTGTAAACTTAAAACTTACACGAAAACAATATACATTGTACAATTCAATATTCGCGTAAATAGCGTTAAGGATCATGTGATACGTTGCGTTTGACACCTATTGAGTGTATAAATGTAGCATGTAGTTATAACCAGAGTCTCCTGGAGAGAGAACGGGAGTTTGTGTATAGATCTATACGGGGGTGACACCCCAAACCTGAGTTGTTCGCTACAGTTAGACTAGGCTAGTCTAGGGGTGACAAACCTTACCTTAAATAAGTCGGCATCTGAAAGACATAATGAGAGACGAAATTGTCATTATCAAGTATGGTTATAACAACTCACTTAGAGGAATTAACATCTTTATAAAATTTACAGGAAACAATCTTTTTGTAGATAACACGGTAACTTGCACGCACTGGTACTCAACCTCGGGTGTTGAGATCACAACATTTTCATAAACAGGCAACATCGGGTTGTCTGGGGTCATTCTCTTTAGATTCTTACAAACATTAACACACATGCATTAATACAAGATCGGACACAAACATTTCAAACTATTTTTCGGAAAATATCAGATTTTCTGGCAGTTACAAAGTAATAAAAACATTTTACTCAATCATGCTTATGAACTCACCAACATTATATATGTTGAAATTTTTTTTAAATTAACTTGTATTCTCAGGAAATCGTTGAGCAGGTTGGTCAGCAAGAGTACCTGGATATTTTGTTGTGTTTTGTTTTCATCATACTTAAGATATTTTGGCATGTAATATTGAAATACAATACTTAATGTAAATAATGACAATTATAATATTACATGTGTGATGATGATGATGTTTTGTTTCAATTATATACACTGTGATGATAATTCAAGAATAAAGTCACTCACGCCCCCGAATGTTTCAGCTGTTTGGTTCAGGGGTGTGACAGTTTATTAGTTTTGGTCCCTAGAAGTTTATTAAAAGAAGACAAAACTGCAAAAATGGTCTCTGTGGTATGCATTTTTTCCGAGGTTTACTCCAAACCTGGACTTTTTTGGCTTCGTAGTCTTTTTGAGCTAGTTTATTTGCGTTTTGGTCCCTCGGTAAACTGAAAAAACTATTATGCCCTTTTGATATATATTTTTATGCTTTTTCTATTTAACTCAAATAAAAAATAAAATAATTAATTAATTTGGGTCTGCATCTCTCTCCCTCTCTCTCTCTCTCTCTCTCTCTCTATTTCATGTGCAAACCCACCACCGATCCAAACCTTGTTCATAATCCATTTCAACATCAGAGATCCGAATTCTTTCTTGCAAACAATCGATTCCTCTGATGTCTCCATTCTCAAACAATCGATTCTCACTTTTTTCCTACAACCTGGATTAACCCACAAACTTATAGATCTTCACCCAATTTCACTATAAACACAAACACATACACACACATAAGATCAATATATATATATATATATATATATATATATATATATATATATATATCCGAAAACGATTCACCAGAAAAGTGCAGGTACGATGATAATGGGCTGAGGTCCAGTGATTTCTGTAGGATGTTGAGAAGACCCAATTTAGTGGTTATCAAAATCGATGATACAAAGAAACATTAATGATGAAAGAGGAGATGATAAACAACACACAATTCGACTGCTCAGGGTTATACCTATGATTCACCTTATTTAAACGACAATCAATCCAGAAACATTGTCTACATACAGGTTATACACAAACACCCATTCTACTAGTAATATACATAAAGGAGAGAAAGAGGAATCGTAAGAGAAGGGGAAAAAAAGAGAAAGGGTGAGCTGATAAAGGGGAAAAATTGAGAAGGGTTGTTGTAGGGAGAGATAAATTGTTCGTTGTTGTGCGCCTTTATTCTTATCTATAAAATTCTTGAATTTCATATTGAAAACGATGATGGTGGTGTTGGTGGTGGTTTATATGGTAGGGGCGTTCTTCATCACACTAGAGAATCCTCCCTAAATTCGTAATAGGCGTAGGTATTGGGGTCGAAGTGCAAATCGACGGTGGTTAGAGTGCACATTGAAATGATAAACTTTTAGACCGCCAATGCCATTGATTCACAATTAGGTGAGTGATTGTTGTTGATCAAGCGAAGAAAATATAGTGGAATAGGGTCTGATAATGGTGAAGGAAGGGTAGATATTTGCTTTATAATTTTTTTACACAAATCGGATCGTTTGCTCCAGTCGAATTAAACTCGTTGACACCAGAAACATCTCCTGCGGGTGGGAAAAGTCAACACGCGCAAATATTTTGACATTTCAAAGAGAAGGTAGAAGCTTAAAGAGTGGGAAAATTGTGCTCTGGAAATCGTCAAAATGGAGGTAACAGGAAATCATCATAGTGTTTGTGTGTGTGTTTTGTGTTTTAAGAGAGGGAGAGAGAGAGAGAGAGAGAGAGAGAGAGAGAGAGAGAGAGAGAGAGAGAGAGAGGTGGGCTATTTGTTTAATATTTATAAAATATTTAATAAAAAGAAAGAAAAATGAAAAATAAATATACTAAGGGTATAATAGTATTTTTATTTAGTGGGGACAAAAAACGTAAAGAAACTAGCTCAAAAAGACCACGGAACCAAAAAAAATTGAGCTTTAGACTAAATTTCGGAAAAAATCATACCACAATGATCATTTTTGTAGTTTTGTCTTAAAAGAATAAATTACAGTTTTGGTCCATAAAGTTTATAAGTTTCATGTTTTTGTCGAATAAAATTGATTTTAGAGAAAAAATATGTTTAAATTTCATGTGCATACCATGTATGTTGAACCTGCTATTGCTTGTATCAATTGTTAAATTGTGATAAAAATGAAAGTTTAAGGGCTTAATTACCGTACTTGGAAATTTAGTGGCAAAATAGTGACAAATTTAATACTTCGATGGTTAATAAAATCGAGAACTCCAAATGATAATTATTTGTTTGAAATAATATATACTTTAATTTTTTTTTTTTAGCTGATTGAACATGGTTAATGCAACTCTTAACGCATTCATAGTATTATTCATCTATCCGGTGTCAATAATGGAATTTAGAAGTTTCACATCTTATTCTCAATTCTTCTCAATTCTCACGAAGCATCCGGAGGACATGAATCTAAAAAAAATCATTTTGTCGACATATAACAACCATGTATTATTTTGCATTTTATGTGTCGGAGGTTCTTGATTAAATAATAAAGCAATAATATGTTCATCAAGACATACGCCAAAATAGATATTTTTTTATAGGTACAATTTATTTATTTCTTTAATTGTTTAGATGCCCAGTAGTTTTCCCTATTTAATTTCAAGATATGAAAACACAAACAACTAATAAAATAACAAACAGAAGTTATAAAACTAAGTTCCAAATTAAAAATAGACAAAATATATGGCATTTTAGCCTAATATGACCCATTTTTTACCCTATTTAAAATCATTCATGTAGTTTTAATCCAAAATTTTAACATTTTACCCAACACATTCAACTCGTTTATTGGTCACATCATGAAATATGTGTAAACATGTGTCGGGTTTGTTACTTTTTTTTTTCATCGAATTTCAGTTCTTCCATTTTTTACACACATGTAGACGTAATGCAAATGACGTTTACCCAACACAAGTGGTGTAGTTGCTTATGCCCCCACACACATTTCAATGCAAGTTCGTAGAATCTTTCCGCCGCCACCAAATTCCTTCCACCGCACCAAGTTGCTTCTCCGATTCCCCACAGCAGATATCAGCAACAAAAGGACCACACGGTATAATAATAATAATAATAATAATAATAATAAATTAAATAACAATACATTTATAACTTCGTTTGGTTGCAAGTCGCAACTTGTAATAATATTATATTTTTATTTAAAGTAGCAATCTTTTGTGAAAAATTTATAGAGCAGTTGAAAACACAAGTTTAAAGGTTTTAATTACCACCTGTTTATACACAATTTGTTTATGATATTTTTAGTTTCCTAACATAAAAGAATGAAGTAGAATAGGTTATGCACAGTAACAATCTTGTTGTAAAAACTTTAGAGCATACGTTGACCAAGTGTTTGTTGACCCAAAAACTTTTCAAACTCAAAATAATTAAAGAGTCGTCGCTCGTTTGGCATTAAAAAAGAATACGCCTCTTCGTCCGCGTTATGGACGCCAGGTGTCAGGCACACTTGACCCTTTCCAATTTTTTCGACTCTATATAATCACCATGCCTTGTCTTCTAAATTCATCAATAACTTCTTCTTCTTCTTCACAGAAAGCAATACCTTCTCGAAGTTTCTCTACTCCGGCGATTCAAATCAGTCTATTTTTTGCAGATCCGTAGTCAGTGGAATGGCGAACGCCAAGCTTATCTCATCCTTGATCGTTGATCAACTCTCTGTTGTTGCCAGGTAATTTTACTTTACCGTTGAATCATCTCTGTTTGAGGGAGCTTTATTAATTTGTAGAAAACTTTTTTGAGATTAAGAAACTTTGGAGATCTAATCAGTATGTGTTGAATGATTTTAACAGACGTGGATTCGCGACCGCAACACAGGGGAGTGTATCCGGAAGCGTGAGAGGAAGTGGAGTTGGAATGATGAAGAAAGGAGGTGAGGAATCGAAGAAATCGACTCCATGGGTTCCAGATCCCGTTACAGGCTACTACAAGCCGGAAAGCCAAATAAACCAGGTTGACGCCGCTGAGCTCCGTGAACTACTGTCAAAACAGAAAAATCGTCGACACTAAATTAAAGCCGTTAAAATGGATTCGTAAGTTGCAAGATGAAGATGAGTGAAGCTGATTAATACCATTCATCCGAAAACACATAGCACGCTTGTTTAGAAACTTATTGATTTTGTTCAGCGGTCGGTCCATATTATTGTTACAAAGCTAGGAATCATTCCATTAATAAAAAAAAATATACTTTATATGTTAAATACTAGTAAACGTATTCGTGTTGGAACTTGGAAGTATGTTACTTCTTATTCCACTGAACTTGAAACATTTTACATTTATCTATTTGGCATACTCTATACCTAAGTTATCAATTGCGCGCTATAGCGGTGCTATTTGCGGAGGTCAGGAACCGCTATTTTCAACTTAGCGTTTTCATTTCGTGGTACCGCTATTAGCGGCACTATTTATCGCTATTTCAATAACCGCTATAGCGGCGCTACGGGCGTTATTCCATTTTCGTTCACATTTTGGGTCATTTGGTTATTTTTTCAATGAAAAACTAGTTTTAATGATCTCACTACACTTTCATTTTAAAATGCCCAAACAACTATCATAACTAAAAGCATTCAAAGCAACTACGTCTACCGACAACTCTCTTTCTCATCTCTCTTTGTACTCACGACAACATGAACTGCTATGGTCGGACTCCATTAATGCTTTTTGTAAATCGAACCACACCTATGAGGCTATGACTTGGGACTTAACTATTTATATCAACCATGACCTACTAATATGATATTGAACACGAGCAATACAATTAAACTCTATTTGACATTTCACACTACCTAGTTTCAATATTACCATAATAGAATATTATGTTATGTTTTTATATGATTTTTTAGGTTTATGATATTAATTCTATATAGACTTATAGTATTAATACTCAAATATATATAACTTTTATATAAATATAATATAAAATTATAAATTATACGTAATATTAAAAAACCGCTATATCACCGCTATACCACCGCGATAACCGCGATCTCAAATAGCAACATGTGACAGCTATTGAAATTTTGACCACGATAACTGCATAGCTCTGTACCTTTTTCTCTCTATGAGTGTTTGGTTTGGGAATCCGATGGAATTGAAATCGAGATTTCATTTTAGGGAAAATGTCACTGTAGCCCCCACGAACTTACACATTTTGGTTTAAAATGTTCCTTATGTTATTTTTTAGCTTTATAAATTATAAATGCATGAATTGACATTTAACCAGCAAATTTGGCCATTTTCTAAAAAGAGAAGGGGTCACCCGGTGACCACCATCCCAATCAGCAGCTTATCTATGAAATGTCATTAAAAAAAGCCACCTCATATGTCCAAATCACATGCCACGTATCGATAAATGAGACCAACCCTTCCTCTTCAAGAAATAATGTTCTTTACGTGGTTTCATCTACCCTTTTCTTCTCTTTTTTTCTACTGTTCATCGAAAAAAAATTATCTTGGACTCTTGCTATGGCCGTCTACATGAAGATCGATCTTCATTTTGTTGGTTTGTTTAAGAGGTATCCAGTGATCAGTTACTAAGATGCAGTGGAGCAAATGTTTGAGGATGTGGATTTTGTTGGAAGGGACAAAAACGAATTTGTATTGTTCATTCAAAGATTCTCAAATGAGAGATGCGTTGATGTGTACTTTTGCATGCCCAATATTGAGTTCCCTAAAGGATTGAGGATAATAGCAACTGAGAAAGACTACCAGGAGTTGATTCACATTGGGTATGATTCCGGTTGTGTAATTTATGTGTACATGGATCATGTTGGTGTTAATGTTCATCAATGGATTGTTGATGAGATAGCTGAAGTATGCACCCTCGAGGACAAGTATTATGGTGTAGATGAAGTAATAGAAGAGTTTCATGCTGAGACAGAAGGAACCATTGACCTAGATGAAGTGCAAGTGCAAGGTAATTTGGATGACAACATTGAAGATGGAGATTGCATTCCAATGAACAAGACCTTGAATGATGCATTTCTTAACAAGCTCGACCCCAAGGACCAGGCAACTCCAGACATTCCACCTCATGAGGATCCATCTCACGAGGATCCATATGATCAGATGGATGAAAACGAGCCAATTCATGATGAGGTAACAACTTTTAATGAAAATTTGCATTGGAAAAAACAAAAACCTGTGTTATGAATAAGATTTGAAAGTCCTAAACAGTTAAAACATATGTTGTGTAATTATGTTGTTGCTAAATTATATCAATTGTGCTACAAATAAATGATAGTAGGAGGCTTTAATTAAATGTTGTTAAGGGCAATGCAATTTTAGATTGTGGGCTTCATGGATGAGTGAAGAAAAATCTTTCCAGATTAAGTCTCTTATAAATGAGCATAATTGTGCAAGAAATTTTAAAATGGGGCCAGTTGAAACTATGCATGGATTGGTAGCCATTTCACATCATAATTCTTACAAAAACAAAAATTGAGTGTTATGCTACTCAAGGAAAAAGTAAAACAAAAATTTGGAATTGATATGAGTATGGGACAGTGTAGAAGAGCAAATAAATATGCAATTGAACTAATTGAAGGCACACTATTGGAGCATTATGCCAAGCTTTGGTCATATGGTAAAGAGATAAGAAGATCTAATCCAGGATCAACTAGGGATGCAAATTTGACCCGCGGATTCGGGTACCCGCGGGTATCCGACCCTAACGGGCCGGGTATTACCCGTGTTAACGGGTAACAGGGTGGCGATGGGTATGAAATTTGATACCCGAAGCGGGGACGGTTCGGGTGTCACACCCCCAAACCAAGGATGGCGGAAACGTCCGGGGGTGGAGGACTTCATGTATAGCATCATAACCACAATTTTAATAGTAATTTAAGCAAACACAACCAACATATATATAATTGAAAAAGTTACATCACTTGTATGAATTACATGTTTCAAAATCAATTACAATATGTTGTCAAAATGTGAAAAGTTTGACGCCTTAACGTCCCATCCTCAAAAGCACTTGATAACCTGATTAGTGTCTTCCTGTGAATACAAGTTGTTTGAAAAGTGTCAACACAAAGGTTGGTGAGTTCATAAGCTTTTATTAATAAACTTAGTAGAAGTATTTCACATGTAAATGTCGCGTTTGTTTCAGAAAAAAAATATCCGATATTTCCCCTGAAATCCGAGATATGTAGCCTTATAATCAAAGACTAGAGTGTATGAGAAATCATCGATTTTTAGTAAAAATGTTGTGAGTTTCAAATGTTATGGAAAATAAATTTCTTTTATCATCCTAAACCTACTTCGGTTTTATGAAACCCCGTAAACTTCATGAATTGTTATCCCCCTAAGTGAGTCGCTATAATCATACTGTGACTATGTGAACCTGCCACAACGTTTCTCAGGCGTTGCGAAAATGAAATGACATTTGTCACCCGTAGACCTGCAGGTCCCACTGTAGCTAGCAGCAAGGTGTGGGGTGTCAAACCCAATATAGATCTATATACAAGTATCACGTTCTCCCTCAAGGAGATTCTGATTATAACTACCAGGAATTATATCCCGCACTCGGACGTACGGGGAGAGAGAGAGAGTCTCACAACATAGGTTAACAGGTTTACGTGAAATGTGTGTGAATATAAATCTTTCTTGTATGGATGTACCCTTTTTGGTACGAGTGCGTTGAGTGATGTATCATAAACTATACCTATTATAGTTTATCTAAAATGTATGTAATATGTATGAATCCTCTTATGGAAATGTATTAGTATTGTGAATTTATCAAGCTATACTTTTTATAGTCTAATGATACGTGTTCCAAAATGAATGAATAATATTTAATATTTAGTATGAATTTCATAGTTTCAGTTCATAATGGTAAACTAACAAGGAAACACATACAAATACTAAAACTTATGATTATACACTTTGCTCAACATAATACAAAGTGTTATGATATTTACATGCTGTTGGCAAAATTTAGCGATTCTGCCCTGTTTTGGAAAAATCATAGAAAAATCATACGAAGTCGAAATCTAGATCCGTAAACTCTGAGAGTTCACAAAATGTGTCTAGTTTGTTCATAATTTTTATCACAAATTAATATGACCTCTAACTTGGGTGAAAAAGTCCAAAATCACAGACTGGTCCGGATTGTTGTTTGAAATGATAGGCAGTTTTGTAAAAATCACCATAAATTGTAGAAAAATCGTATGGAGATGTGCAAGTAGTCATTTTAAAGCTAGAAACATGAACTATTTGCACCTTGTACAGTTTTGAAAGAAAAAATGTTTAAGGTGCCCAAAACAGTCCGTGAATGGAGTTGAACTTTTCTGATGAAGGCTGTTAGAAAAATCTAGTTATGTTCTTAGTGTTTTAACTTGTATTTCCCCCTTGAAAACTTGAGAAAACATGAAAAGGTAGGGGCATGAACTCACCTTGAGTGATTTCAGTAGATGATTGTTGAAGAATGGGAGTGTTTAATTCAAGAACACTTGGAGATGCCTTGAAGGTTTTCGAGAATCTAACATCATAGTTAGGGAGTTTGTGTAAGCAACCAAAGATTTGAGTAGAATGAAGTGAAATAATAATAGGGAGGATGAATTTTTACTTACTAAGTGTGGAAGAACACTTGAAATCAGCCTTGGATCTCGAAAATTTGTGTAGAAGAGTTTGAGAGAAAAAGTGGTGTTTGTTACTTAGTGGAATGAGAGAAATGAGAGAAAATGAGGAGTGTGGTTGTTTGTTCCAGCTCAAAAACGTGGGAGTGGGTGAAATTTGAGTGTAAGGGAACATTGAAGTGACCTAGGTAAGGTGGAGAGGTGTGGTTAGTCAAAGAGTGGGTGTGGGGTGGTTGCTTGTGGCTTTGGATAAGGCAAAGTCAACACTCCACCTTTAATAATTCATCCATTTGATTTTTATTATTTAAATAATGATTTTCATCAAAATATGTTTAAATTATGAATATTTAGAGTTTATTATGTTAAAATATAATTTCTGGAGAAAATCCCGCTTTAAAATCATGAAAAACGGGCTTAAAATGTCAAAAATATCAAAAATGGGCTGAAAATGACAAAAATGCGAGACCTGGCCGAGGTTCGGCCCTCTTATGCTGAACCGAGAGAGAGAGGGAGGCGGAACCGAGAGAAGAAGAAGAGAGAAGGGAAGGAGCCGAGAGGAGAGGAGAAGGAGGGAAGAACCGAGAGGTGGGAGGGGACAGAGGAGCGCGCGAGGCAGAGAGTGAGAAGAGAGCAGAGAGTGAGAAGAGAGCAGAGAGTGAGAAGCGGAGCAGAGAGGCGGAGTCGGACCGAGAGGGAGGATAGCGGACAGAGAGTGAGAAGCGAACAGGGAGCGAACAGAGAGGCGGAGGCGGACCGAGAGGGACCGACCGCTCGGTTGTGAACAGTACTCTCGGTTTCGGTTCCTCCTGGGCGAGTTCGGTCTCGGTTCTCTTAGCCACCAGAGGCTCGGCCTCTGGTCTCTTAGCCACCAGAGGCTCGGTCTCTGGTCCTAAGAAGCCTCTCATTCCGGTTTCGGTTCCTAAAGCCTATTTTTCTCGTTTTCGCCCCGTTTTAAGCCGTTTTTGACCCGGTTAAGGGCCGGAATGACCCGAATGATTCCAAAAAGTTACGGGAAACTCTTGAGAGAAATTTGGGAGAGATTTCTCACACTTGGAGAGATTTAGGAGAGATTTGA